GATAAGAGTGTCCTACAAGAGTGTCGCGCAAGAGTGTCCCACAAGAGTGTCCTACAAGAGTGTTTCGCAAGAGTGCCCCACAAGAGTGTTCCGCGGGGGTGTCCCACAAGAGTGACACGAAATTAAGAGTGTGCCACAAGAGTGTCCCCCAAGAATGTCCAACAAAAGTCCTACAAGAATGCCGCACAAGAGTGTCCTACAAGAAAGTGTCAAAAATTGTTTGAGCGTTTGTTTTCGAATGTATACCTGTTTGCATTCGGGTGCGTGAGTTCCATTTTGTTTTGCAATCTATTTCTCCCAACCACGAATGCTGGTTCTGGTCCAGTGATGAAGTTTTACAAAGAGACAAACGACGTACAGGAAGGAAGCTGCAAATGTGCAGATCAACACAGAAGAACACTAGTTAGTTTTGTTTGTCACGCATGTTTTGTTTCATTGCCACCTATACAGTAGTCATAATAACTTACAATATCTTACAACTTATTTGTTCCTGCATCCGGCAAGCAGTGCGTGACTCCAACATGTCATCAGTAGCACAACAGAGGATTGTCCTTCTAGAAAGAATGCTTGTCACGAAAGGTAGCTTGAGCTACCTGAGTTCTCCTTGCTTTAGCAAAAATGTATTACAATCAGGAGTTGGGATTGTGCATTGAATTTGGTCCTGTAAGAGTTGATTCTGTTCGTCGGGGCCCCCCCCCCTGGATCAAGTCCCCCCTGCGCCGGTTCACGCCGTCGTGGACTTCTACCAGGGTTACTTGTGATTGCCTGCTACCTTTCGTTCACCCCCTCCTCTCTCAAGTCCAGTATCGAACATTCAAGATCGCTCACAAATTATATGAATAACGCTAGCAGCTAGGCTGTTGTACCCAATGCTCCTTTTGACATGTACCCCCTCCAAAACACCCGCAATGAATCAATCGAGGTAATTCTCCTACTTTATCTTGCAGGAACCTTTCAAACTGTAACTGGTGTCTAGGATGTTGTGAAGAATTCGCTGACTTAGACCATGCGGAGGTGGCCGCAAACTGCAACGAATCAGACATTTATGGTTTAAACAATCTCTCGAAAGACTCAAAACGGCTGCAAACACGAAACAGCTCAGCTCGCAAATAAGAAGCATTAAAAAACATGACCAGCCCAGAGTAAAAGCAATTGGGCACACCGAAGCTGACCGGTTCACCACGGCCTCTGGTGTGTTGATGCAATTTCATGGACAAAATGTTCATCGGAGACTAGAGAGGTGCAACAAAATTTCATCGCAACCTTTGGCCAGCTGGGACAAGTACAAATCCTGGACTCTCTTATAAGGGCTAGTAACACTCCCAATACTCTACTCGTAGTATTCAATAGAGGTTGTCCAGAGTCCCTCCGAAACCGCAGTGGATACAGAATAGGTCTTGTGCCTTATGCTAGTTGTAGTCCTTCACCTCCAGCAGGAAGGGCTTTTACCTCTAGGAATACCAGTGGCTATTCGGTGTTTGGGGCGTCATTTAGCTGCAGAGTTGAATTATTTTCACATTTGCCCGTCTCTGGGGGGCTTCCTCTATCTCCTCTATCTATGATCAGCTTGCTTCCCACCAAGTGGCCCAGAATCTTTTTCGTGAAGTTTTCAAGCTGCCTAGTAGTGCTTACCGTAGTTAAAGTTGGGCACCGAGGGCAGATTTGCACCTGTCAAGTGCAGCATTGCAGCAAAAGCTTAATTGACATTGCCGCGTTGCTATATACATTGCTTCACGTTGCTTGTATACATTTCATGCAAGGACACTTCTGGACTTTGTCAGTGAGACCTTGACTCCTTTCCTCATGAAAAAGGGCCAGGTGGTGCAGCAGAGTGTTTGTGAATTCTTGAGGGCGTTCGGCCAAATTCCCGAATTAACTTGAGTCGCTGAAACTGAATGGCTAAAGTTTTGACTTGTACTGAGTGCACTTGTGCCAGCATGCCTCTGCTGTGGATTTGGTGAAGATCTCCAAGTCTGAGAAGGCAGGACTTGCCAAGCTTCATTGTGACGAGCTTTCCACAGTTTCGAGCCTTCACCAAACTCATACACTAGACCTTCAAGTGGCTGGTGAGAACGGAAAAGCGTCTCATTCTGCATTTCTTCTCCAACTCCTCCTTGCTGTGTAGCAGCAAACACAGCGAAGGGTGGGCTTGTTTTGGAAAAGCTCCTCGATGTGGACAAGATGGTGGCCGAGTGGGGCGCTTTGTAAATTCGAGAAGTCTTTTGCATGCCTTTTGGGTACTCCCTTTGGGTCCTGCCTGTAGACACTGTATGTTTTCAGCTCTTTGTTCCGAGGTTTATTCCATATCGTTCCGGGTGGAAACGTGAAGAGGCAATGACATGGGGGTTGCCGGGCGAGGGGGCAACAACTTTGGACCAAACTTTGGATATCCACTTGTGTCGACTCACAAGGTTTCAGCCGGTGGCAACTTCAAACCGGCGCTGCAGCGCTTGGCCAATGGAGATCGCCACACAAGGCACTCAAGCCACATGGAACCGCACAACATCACATGCAGTTTGTTAATGTTCTCCTCCAGACTCCAGACAGCCCTGAATGTTTCTCCTCAGCTTGGAGGAGTATGATGTGCACTGGTTTGCTGCAGATTGCAGGCTCCAGAGCAGGCCGATTTCAAGCCCCAAGCCATCCAAAGTTGATTTCGGATTGTTCACAGCTTCCAAAATTGTGAAGGTGAACTGGACGACTGTTACCGCTTTGTGGAATTTGATCTTGGTGGCCTTAGCTTGCTGACGAAGGCAAGACTTTGTTTGTTTCGTTCAAACTAAACAACCCCACGCACTTGCTCTTTTCGCAAAGCAGGCCCGAGCTCATGCTCAGAAAGACGGCCAGAACATTGACATTGCACACAAGCCGCTTTCCGAATTCCATGAATCATCGAAGAATCAGGTGCTTCTTGAAAAACGTTGACATGCTTGATTTTGCATCCAGCTACCAAGGAATTTCTACTACCAGAATGAGGCCATTACTACAAACATTGTTTGCAAGCCACAACTGACGCAGTAGGAAGAGGAAGGTGCAAATTCCTGGTAGGTTAAAGCGCTGACCACATATTTCAAAATGATCCTGGGCAAGACAGTCAGAACCCAAGAAATGCTGTTCCTGTAGTAAGGTGCCTTACTAGTAGTAACAAGAAGCTACTAGAAACATGTGCATCGCTAGTAGTAACAGGTGCCTTACTAGTAGTAACAAGAAGCTAGTAATTGAATTCCTTTTGCTTTCGGATCCAGCATTGGGGATCCAGTCTTGCGTACACACTTTCAACCATCAAGTCCCAGGACAAGACCATTTTGGCCATCCAGCGGAGTGGAAAGATTCACCAGGCACAAGTGTGCTGTGTGTAGGAACAGAGCACTGTGCAGGATCATGATTGCACTCCAGCATCAATGCCCTGGTTTGCTGCCATTTAGTCTCTTCTGAAGGGAGACAAGAAGTGAAGGAGTAAGTACAAGCACCCCCAAAGAAAGACACTTGAACAGCAAGAGAGCAGAACACATTTTCAGCCATTGGCGCAAGTTCTAGTTCACATCCTTTAATGGCAACATGCTTCTCTCCGTGAAGGACTCAGCACATTTGGTCTCTCAAGTGCCTTGAAGTCTCAACATTTCGCATACGGCATGCACAGGGCACATTCATTTTCGAAGACCTTGGAGGACTCTCTTTTGATTTCATTTCTCTGCCCTACTGACGACCGAGGCTTTGAGGCTTGGCCGAATCCCACGCGAAATCGTCTTTGCTGTGGCAAAAGGCAGGAAACCAAGCATGGCCTGCTGTGGCCTGAAGCAAAATCTGCTGCCAAAAACGATTTGAAAGGTGTTCACAAGCGTTTTTCACTCAGTTGGTAGAACACGACATCACAGCTGCGCTGTAGCTTTCAGAGCCCTCAAGATTTTGCTCGTGTCCTGTGCATTTCCATTCGATTGCCTGCGGTGATTCGAAGTCTGTGCAATACGCCTATCAGAGCCGTGGCCAAAACTGCTCTCAAAGCGCCATTGATCGTTTTGCTGGCCGCTGTCCCCGCTCTTCCCGCTGTCGCCCCAAGCTGTCACATCCTACATAATTTGCCTCGGAGTCGCAGCGCTTGCCCAATGACAATTTCCAATGAGACTTTGCAAAGCATATCAAACAAGGCTACTCGCTTGGTGAGCCAGCTGTTACATGGTTCAACACAATTTAACATGTCACAACCGGCATTACTTACAATGCTGCAATGCTGGTTAAATGCTGGAACCGACCACACAATGCTGTGAGCTTTGGTGCCAGAAAGTTCAGAGGACAACTGACAACTGTGTCCAAAAGCCTGGTTCTGTGGGGCATACATTGCGCAACACTTGAATTCGATTTTCCTTACTGTATTTCATTGGACCATATTCTTGAGGACTGTTCATATTTGTCGCAGTTCTCACACTGTTGGGAGCCCTGAGCCATGCACTTGCGTGGCCAGGGATGTATGGCCGTTCCAAGCGATGCTTCAAGCTTGCTGCTGTGCGTGTGATGAAGGATCTGAATCATAGGCGTGGGCCGTGAGCAGTTTATATAAAAGCTCATCGCTTGAGCGCTGATGCCTGGCTTGAAGGTACTGGCTAAGAAGAAAAAGGAGGAAGCAGATGCGAATTCTGTGGATTACTCGCATACAGGCTGTTTGCACCTCAAGGAACTTCTTGCGGACGCTTGATGCTATTGGCCCACAGCTTGGTACGTGCAAGACTTGGAAACGTGCTGATTCTGAGGCGTGCAGAGAGTATGGCATGTTCCCCTACAGCCGGCTCATCTCTGGATTGACACGTGCCAACGTGCGCCTAGTTTGTTCAATCGCATGCCAAGACTCAAACCCGAACTTGGAATGCCAGATGGCTGTCGACCGCAAGAGCTTATGCATCTTAGCAGAGACTGAGCCAGTAAGCTTCAAATGCGTGCTGGATGAGGCCAAGAGGCAGGGACATGAATGAAAAAGTAACACAATGAGAGAAGGTAACTCAATGCGAAGGATGATGAAGCGGCAAACCCTGGAATCTGTATTGACCTCAGCAAAAGATGCAACTTGTAAAGGAGCAAATAGCTACTAGGAACAAGGACGCTACTAGTAGCTCCTGGCATTACTAGTAACAAAGGGCATCGCTACTAGGAGCAAATAGCTACTAGTTAGAACATTCGATCCAGATTTGCACTTGGGAGCCAAGGAGCGAAACCTTTCCCAGTTCTGATCAAAAAGGAATGGCCCTTGCCCTTGCAACATGCCAAAGTGCTTGTAGAGACAGCATTGGAGGGAGGGTTGAGATGAGACCACATTATATAGAGACCGGAAAGGATTGCTTGTGCTTTAAGCATGGAAAATGGTGCTGGCGAAAGGGACATTGGAGAGTTCAATACAGAGCTCTTGGATTGCACTGAATGCAAATCATGTGATAGGTTGTGGAGAGCACTTTGGAGGACATCGTGGAGAAACAGCCCACACCTCTGAAACTGTCAGTCGGACTCGCTATGTGCTGCGGCACTGTGTGAGCGGTTCTTGGTGGGCTGAGTGGCTTAGTGCTTGGCCACCAAGCCCTGCATTGCTCAAGGCCGTTAATTAAGGAGGGTTGCAGCCTCAGAGTTGGACGTGAGTAGCTTCCCAAGTGCAAACTCATGCGCGTAAATCAGAAGTATCAGGACATGTTGCTCACATGCACAGTCAAAAGGCTTTGCACTTACGACATGTGGCCATGAATTGGTTTTGGTGCTCTATCTACTGTGGTTTGATTGCTTTTCTTTGTTCCCTTTTGTCGGGCAAAACGCGCCAGCTGCTCAACGGCGTCTCGGAAGACTCGTGGCACTCCTCAAGGAGGTGAGACTGAAATTTGAGATCTGGACTTTAATTACAGTGTACACAGATGTACAAACAACTTAGTTCTATTAGATGTCACTCTTTCTCTTGGTTTCCCTGCAACATTTTTTGGTGAATTGCTTGAACTCTGGACTCAAGCCCGGCTTGAGAGAGAGGGCCATCAGAGAAGGAGACCTTTGAAGACAGGGAAATACAGGCAAGTTGAAGGAAGGAAGTTAGCAGAGGAAGAGATGGGAAGCTGAGGAAGGGAAGTTGAACGAAGTACAGGAACTCGCTATTGGATTGAACGAAGTAAGGGTCTGCAGTCAGTCTGCACCATCACCCCGTTCCCCAGCTATTTCACCCAAGCCGAGTCAACCTGCCTTCGAAGCCAGTCCGCAGCATGGACTCCTAAATGGTACAAGCAAGAAGAAAAGTATGGATACGGCAGACTCTTAATCAGCGTGTTTATTGGAAAGGCAGGTGTTGTTCAACAGGGGCTACATACATTTCAGTGTTTGCTTTCGTTGTTGGGCACATTAGGATGATTAAAAGCAGCATGGTGACATATTGGATTGCACATGATTGCACTATTGTTTGAGCGAACAATCAAAGCATGAAGGTGCAGAAATCGGTGGAATCTGAGAGCGGCCCATGGGTGCGACCGTCAGTATGACTCTACGGTTCTCTTCCTTGGCGGCTTGCACTTGTACTAGTACAAACTCAACACAGGTGCTGCAATGGCAGCGTGGCCAGTTGGTCCTGGGCAAGTTTGAGCTGGTCTGAACCTTAAATACTTTAATTTCTGACATGCTGAACCTGTGCTTTTGAGGTGGAAATGGAGAAGGAGAGCAGGGTATGAAACCTGTGCAAAACTAGTTTCTTTTTCTCAAAGGTCTTTTGCGCTTCGGGTACCAGATTGAACGTGAGCACAGTACCTATGTGAACAAGCAAAGGAATCAATCAGGCCGACACAAGCTGGACTTGGCAAAGCCAGTTGTGCAGGAGATGGCAGTGGCTTGAGTCTGGGACTTGCTGTCTTTGCGCAGACCGAATAACTGTGGTTACAAAGTTGCACATGAGTTTCATCAAGGTTGGATGTTCGGCGTGTGAGAGGCACAAGTATTAGTTGTAGCATATCAGGTCGCTGTACATTTTACTCTACTTTCAATGGAACAGCATGTGAAATGTATCAAACAAGTTTTTGGTGTTTGCAACTCCGGGCAATCTCACACAGGCATAATCTTCTGCCAGCGCATGGAAAGACACCGATTTTGTTGCCAATACAGAAACCGTTGTTCTGGCATGGACTGTTTTGCACGGCCCTTTGATTTGATGCATTTTGATGCAACTTGCTTCATGCCTTTGTTGCAATCAAAGTATCAAGATGCCGAACCCAAGTACGTTGTAGAGGACGCTGGCTGCGAAGGCAGGCTTGCTTGTTAGGAGGAATTTCTTTCTGGCGTGAGCAACATTTTGAGGCTGCGGATGAGAAGAAGCCTATGCTTGCCTGGAAGCTAAGGTTTCAAGGTATTTTTTCAACTTGTATTTGGATCGCCGTGGATAGTTGCTAGGCTTGCACTTTGGCAAGCCCAATCGCAAAGGCAGGATGATTTATGCATTTTGCAGGCAGCAGCCACACTGTTGAGGCAACAGGAGAAACTCTTTTTGGACATCGCTAGTAGGTTGGAGGCCATCGCTTGTAGGTTGGAGGCCATTGCCATCGCTATCAGGTTGAAGCTCACCAAATCTTACTGCCGTGCAGGCTGCCGCACAGCAGAAGTCACGGACATTTGCAAGCTGATGTGGTGAAGGTAAGGCAACCATAGTCGATGCAGCACTTGCCACGTTCAGCAGGCTTCTTCCTGTTCTTCCTGTTTTTGCTTTTCTTTATGTAGACCCCCTTTTTGGACAGTCTTTATCTTCGGACCCTCTAGACTCTAGATCTGATAATTCTTTAGACTTTTTCATTTAAATACATTTGGTTTATTTCTCTAGATCTCTTTTTAGACCCTTTTTCAAAGACTATTTTTTTTTAGACCGCCTCTTTTTTTCTAGGCACTTTTTTTTGGACAGACAGTAGACCTCTTTTCTTCGATGTTTATTTTCTTCCTGTTCTTCCTGTGCTCTTGGGGTTGTGATATTGCGGGTTCGTTGAGTCATATCTTTGAGGGGAATTTCTGATGTACTCCTGCCTAGCATACCCGTTGCAGTTCAAGTTAATCGTGTTTGTAGACGGGGACAGGCTATACAGAAAGGACTCTATCATAGACACTGTTCTAGAATTTCAATTTATATATAGAAATTATATTTGCAGGGGACTCAGCTTCGTTTCCGAAAACACACAGCATGAGCTCTGAAGAGGGAGACACAACAGTTGAACTACCACTACAGACTTCTGGTATTCTCTGGTTCTACCAACACACACCAGTTGTGAGCTGTAGCAGGTGTGAGTTTATGGCCACTACCATACTATCATCCCATTTGTCTCCAAAAAGAGCCCCAAAGCCGTGAAAGATCGGCTTTGCCTTTGACTGAATTTTAGTGGCAGCGGAGTCTGTGGAGCTCTGTATACTGGCATTTATGCCTTGGTTCAGCGTCTTGCCAAATATGTGTTCTGGGATGATCATGAGCAGTGGATGGAACTTGGAGTGAAGCTCCTTTGTCAACTCTTCCTCCACGAGGGCCTATAGTTCATGAGGGGCTTCTTGAATTTGCAAACGCTGGTTGTACCGTGCTGCCTCCGTCAGATTTAGGTCATCTACCCAAACAAGCCACTTTTCATTCCCGCTGTTTCACTCAAGGTTATGATGATTGGTGAGCCGGTGGTGCCTTCCGCAAACAAGAGTTTTTTTCTTTATATGCTTTCCCACATCCCCTGTTAGCAGCCTGCTTTGTCCTTCTTTACCTTTTGTTCCTCCCTCCCTCTCGCTCGCTCTCTCTCTCTCTCTGCGCTTACCTCAACTTGTTGATGTTGCTTTCTTGGAGTTACCTGTAGTTACCAGGTCTGAAGATGTTTGGACCGGTGTTAGTGGCACCTGCTTTGCCTTCGCCACATCTTTGTGGGTTGGGGGACCTGTGGCCTTCTGGGCACTCTTTTGAGTTTGGTCCAACGTTTTGAAAGTTTGGGCTTAGGTTTGTGGCCCTGCGTTCAATTTGAACTAAGGGAAACTGAAGCCCTTTTTTCATGCATACTGTTTGAGGCAATATGCATGTGTTTGTCTTAGACCGCAGTGCTTCGCTTTGATGTGACTGGTTGCCCAGTGTTGGCACTGAGGTTCTTTGAAGACCACCCTCTTGTCTTGGCTTGCCAAGCTTGGCGCGGTCGAATCACTGCAGGTCTTGGGCTATCACTTGGCCCCTGGAGCTTTGCCCAAGTCGCGATGCCATGGCTGCCCTGTTGCGCAGTTTGGTTCGAGTTTTGGAAGAAATTCCTGCGGTGCGTTTTCGTCCTGGGTTGACCCACAGCAGCATGTTGCAAGTGGCTACACCGTCCACTCCCCAAGAGGCGCGCAATTACATGTCAGACTTTGGGGCCTCGGATTCTGACGCAGGCTCTCAAGCAAGGGTGTTAAACACCGGGAGAGAGGCATTCACGGCGTTTGCTTTTGGGGGCATTGTGCGAAGCCCAAGGCCGAAGTGCGAGGAGAGTCACTACGTCGACCTGCAGCAGATCCTGGAACACCACCAGCTCCTGGAGTTTGGGAGTTCCCTTTCCCACCTGAAAGGGAGCATCGCGGGCGCCATCAGGCGCTTGAGGTGGACGCGGACACGGTCCATGAACCTCCTCAAGGAGCGCAAGCACAGAGATTCGGTTGAGTTGATGCCAGGCGGACTGCAGTTTCGATCGGGTGGCAGACGGTCTGGGGCATGTGAAGACCATCAGAAAGCACAAGCCGCCCGAGGAAGATGGGTGGACAAGGAACCTTGTGCAAGAGGCCGGTCTCCAGGAAAGAAGGACGAGGACGTCAAGAAAGACTCAAAGATCTTTGCTTAACCTTGAGGTCTGCTTCAATAGGGGTCTTCTTCAGCTCTTGTCTCACACCAATCTAGTCTAAACTTTTCCCAAGACCAGAACCAGACTTTCTAGAAGTTGCCCATTGGAACCTGTGGCCATTGACTGGCTCTTAGAGGGCAGGAGGCAGAACATGAAGATGTGCCATGTCAGACTGTCTTCAGTGGCCAGAGGGAAGACAGAACATAGCAAAGCAAGATAATGTAACAGGTGACATGCTCACAAGCCACCTCACTGCCACCTTTTGCAGAGCCATGCCTAGCCACAAAAAGCGCCGCACACCAGGCAAAAGGGGAGTGCCAGGATGGAACTTTGGCTTAATGTGTTGGAGTCATTGCACCCTTTCCTTTTGATCATCAATGATGAGCAGTTATCCTTTGATATCAATAGTGAGTAGGCCAGGCCATTTGATTGAATCAAATTTGGCAATTGGTGCAATTTAAACATTTAGTTTCAAGTGGTTCTGTCAGTGATGGTGCATGCCATGACTCACCCCATTCATTGAGGATGGAGGACCTGGCTGGATTTGTGGAGTCTAAGAGGAAGAAGAAGTCAAGAGCAGCCAGCAGCAGGAGAAGGATTGATGATGATGACAGCTACTACTCTGATTCATATGAGGATGATGAGGAGACACATAGCTAGAATTAATGACAATGAGCTAGTAGTCACTAGTCACCAGTGCAACCCACACACACTTTGGTTGTGTGACTGGGCATCATGTTGTGCTGGATGGAAGCACCCCAGTTAACCTGGCAATGGCATTGGGGGATGTTTGGAACAATAATAAGACCAGTCATAGACCAGTCCAATCAACAGCTGAGGAAAAGAAGCAGGAACAAACAGAAGGACTTCAGGAAGAAGGACAAGAAGTATAAGAAGAAGGAGAATGACTCAGACTGCTCTGACAATGGAATTCCAGAGCAGCCTGGCCAACATGTATCCACCAAAGAGGTATCCCAAGGTAGAGGTATGTGTTAAGCGCAACAGTGTTCAGCCAAAAATGTACTCAGTGTTACAGTGTTACAGGGTGGGTGTGCTAGGAAAGCTTTGTTTGAGGCATTGGATTCACTTGGGGCCTGAGTTTGCTGAAGCTGGCAGCAGGGCCTTGCCACGCAACCTGGTTTGCACACCAGCCAGCTGTACCCAGCTACTCAGTCACTGAAGTGCTAGGAAAGGACTTTTAAGGCTTGGTCCATAGAACCAAGTGAGGTGTATGAATGACATCAACTGACTTCTATTCACATCAAGTATCCATGTGTGTCAATAAAAAGGGATTACTAATTTGTTTGCCTAGCTAGCCTCAGCCAGATACTTACCAAACTGACTGGTGCTGAGTAGTCTTCAAAGTTTGCATGATCTGAGGCAAGAACTGTGTTCGTCGCCAGGAGAAGGTGCTTCATTTGATGAAAATGAACCCAGACAAGTTTGCACCAAGCACCTTGGATTGGAGTTTGCTGAGTTAGTGTGACCTGTTTTTCACTGCCCAAATAAGTGATGGCCAACATAGCACTTCCACTCACTCCAACATAGCCACTTCCACTCACTTACTTAACAATGCAGTTCACAGGTTTGAGCAGTGTGGGTTGGAAGTTGGCAGCTTGCTGCCCTGAGGCCATCTGAGCAGCCTCAATGAGAAGGAATTGGAACAGCTCTACTTTATTTGCACTGGCTTATCTCCAAAGGTGCACACCAAGGACCTCATATGTGCTACCAGGAAGGACTTGTCACTTGGCCTGACTAGGGTGGGCACTATGAAGATCAATGGAGTAGTATCTGAATCATTCCTTCACACCATAAGTCTGTTTCATTGATGGTGACTTGCTTTTGGTGACTTGCTTTTGTTTTTTGTGTTGGATTAAGCTGACTCACTGTCACTGTCATGTGTCAGGTGTGACAGGGCCATGGAATGCTTCACCAGGATCCAGAAGCAGAGTGAGACAAGGATTGAGTCCATCAAGGCTTCTTGGCAGTGGGGTTGGGGGTTGAGTTTGTAAAGGTGGGCTGGGTTGTGTTGACTGGGGACCTGCAAAAAGTGGCAATGGATTTCCTTTGCACATGTAGCGCTGCTACCTACTGGGCCAGCTGTTTGAGGATGACTTCAGCAACCTTGACAGCTTTGCAGCCCAGTTGGGGTGGTACAACTTGTTCAAGAAGCCCACTCCCAAAGGCAAGAGTCTTTGCAGCAAGTCTGAGCAGCTTCCTTTGGCGCCAGTTGCCTTTGCTGGTTTGTATTCATTGGTATGGTATGACATGTGAATGTGCCTGCAATTGCTTAATTATGACTTCTCACATCAAACTTGTAAAATGATATGCCTAGCCTACACTGCCATGGATCTTAAGCAAGGCTTCAAGAACCACCAATTCACATGGAGTACATGAGTGCCTTACACCCACTCAACCCCAAAGCCCATCCCCCCAATCTCAATCTCAGGAATGATTCCAGTGGAGGCCCACCTCCAGATGAGCCCATGGCTGCTCAGAGCTTGAAGCATCTGACTTTGAAAGGGCACCCTGGACTGAGTTCAGTGGCATGACATGCCAAATACATGGCTTTAAATTAAAGAACAGGTAGGGCCACTACCACCTGTTGTTGAGTGGTTGTCTGAACAGCAGCAGGAAACAATAGTAAACTGTAACATAAACTTGAAAAATTGAGGCAAGCATTCAACCCACAGTGCTGGTGGAACTAAACATTCCAGCCATGGCCTACCCAGGCCCAGAGGAGAGCTAGTCCTTCAGCACAGGGAGAGAGGACACAAATGGGTGGTGGGGCCACCTGGCAGCCCTATCATTGTCATC